CCGGTAAGGTTCCTTGCGTATACTGTGTCGCCTGGTTTAAATGTTCGGTCTTTGCTTAAGGAATTTGGGGGTTTTTTCTGGGTTGTATGTGGAGTGCAGTCTGTCGAGTGGGGACCTTAATTTCCTCCCCATTAATAGTTCTGCCAGACTTTTGTTAGTTGTTGTGTTTGGGGTTATGTGTTGTATAAAAAGCATTTTATTTATTTTCTCTTGGATTTCCCCGTTTTCTATCTTTTGGATTGTTTTTTTTGTAAATTGAACCATCCGTTCCGCCCTCCCATTCGCCGCCGGATGTGCCGGCGCTGTTAACGCGTGTCGTATCCCCCGCTCCGCTAGGAATTTTTCGAATTCCAGCGAGGTAAATTGGGGCCCGTTGTCGGATACGATGATGTCTGGGAGGCCGTTGTATTGGATGAGGATGGCATCCGAGGTGAGTAGGTCCTTGGTTTTGTTGAAGGCAGCTTCCTCACGTTTCCCCCAAGTCCACAGGGCCACCTTGTCCAAAAGCCTATGCAAAGGATCCTCCGCGGTCGCCTTCTGGGGCAGGAAAACATTATAGAAATTAAGCAGCCCTAGAAATGCCTGTAGTTCCATTTTATTCTTCGGCCTGGGGGCTTCCTTGATTGCTCTGATTTTTTTTCCGGTTGGGTGAATTCCGTGCCGATCTAAAAGGTACCCCAGGAATTCGACCCTCTCAGTATGTAATTGGCATTTTTCCTTTTTAACCTTCAGCCCCGCATTTTTGAATTTCATTAGGACCTCCCTCAGGCGACCCTCCAGTTCTTTTTGGTTGGTTGCCGACACCAGTACGTCGTCGAAGTAGGGCACCACCCCCTTGATTCCTTGCAGGAGCCTCTCCATGAGGCTCTGGAATATTCCCGGGGCCACGCTGACTCCAAACTGGAGTCTCTTACAGCGGAAAGCCCCCCGGTGGGTTACTATGGTTTGCGCCTCAGCGGTTTCTTCATCAACGGGCAGTTGTTGATAGGCTTGCGCCAGGTCGAGTTTCGCAAAAACCTCTCCTCCCCCCAGTGAGTGTAGGAGGTGCTGCACTACTGGGACGGGGTAGGTGCTCTGTTGTAAAGCGCAGTTGAGGGGGGCCTTATAGTCCCCACAGATTCTCACCGACCCATCGGGCTTGACTGGGGTGACTATGGGGGTCTCCCACCGGGCGTGGTCAATAGGTTCGAGGACCCCTTGTCTGATGAGCTTGTCTATTTGCTCATCGGTCTTGGGCCGGAGTGCGAAGGGTACCCGCCGTGGTTTTAGGCATATTGGGGGAACGCTAGGGTCTAGGCTGAAGGAGATAGGGGGCCCGCGGTACTTGCCTAGGGTGCCGTCGAACACTTCCTGGAAGTCCCTTGCGAGTTGCTCCTCCCAATCAGCCTCCCCGATGTGATCGATGCCCGTCACTTCGATTCCGAGTGGCGCAAACCATTGCAGTCCTAAAAGACTGGGGCGGTCTCTGTCCACGATTGTCAGTGGGAGCCTTGCTGTGCGCCCCTTGAAGGTTATCTCGAACTGCCCTGTTCCAACTACCGGGATGCGATTTCCCTGGTAGTCCTTGAGGATTAGTTTCTGGCTTTCCAGTACCCTTCTTTGGATTTTGGGCACCAGGCGCTTGATTTCCCACCATGCAACCATGAAGAGGTAGGACCCGGAGTCCACCTCCATCTTGCATGGCTCGCCCTCGATGGCCACTTCCACATATACCTTCCAGGCGTCTGCGCTGGATGAATGGCCGATGACGACCATCTGGTGGGTTTTCTCTCTCTGCCGGTTCTCGCCATTTCGGTGGCCCTGTCCGTCTCGGCTCCAACGATTTTCGGCTTGGCGGTCTCTGGTGCCGTCTCGTGTCCGGTTGCTGTTGTCTCGTCACTGGGGGCTGTAGTTTTTCTTAAGTCGGCAGACTCTGGCGATGTGGCCTCTTTTATCGCAGTGCCGGCATATCGCATCGAAAAATCGGCACTCCGATCGAGGGTGGTCGCCTCTGCACCCGGCACATTGGGGTCCCGACTTATGACTCTGCCGATCGCGCCGGTCTCGTTCCATCTGGAGTCGATGGATGTCCTCTTCCTCGTCCGTAGTGTCGGAAACGGAGTCGAGGTCGCCATGGTGTGTGGTGGTAGTCTCTCGGCAGCTTGCTTCGGAGCGTTTCTCGGTTGCCGTGCCTGCCTCGGTGGTTTTGGTGCGGTCTCCGGCGTCTGGTCTCCGCATTCGAGCCGCTGATTTCCGGGTCGCTTCGGCTGCGGTAGCGTCTGCGAGGACGTCGGCGAGGGTGATGTCGCCTTTTGCCATCAGTCGGCTTTATAGGACCGGATCTCTGAGCCCCAGGACGACGCGGTCTCGGAGCGCCTCGTCCATGTCCGTAAACCCGCACATGCCCCCGAGATTTCGTAAGTCAGCCATGAAATCGCTGATGCTCTCGCCCGCTCTCTGGTCTCGCTGGTAGAAGTCGTGCCGCCTGATGAGGGTGGGCACGGCGGGGGCATAGTGGTTCCGGAGCAACGGCTCGAGATCGGCCCAGTCCATCGTCTTCATGTCCTCGGGTTTTGCGAGTGCTTTTGCCATCTTAAACACTGCGGGCCTGCAGTGTGTTAGAAAGACGGCTCTTTTCTTCTGCCCGTTGGCGTCCTTTAGGTTGCTACTTTCGAGGAACATCAGGAACCGGTCGGTGTATGATTCCCAATCCTCAGTAGCTGGGTTGAAGGGCACGGGCGGTGCGATGCTGGCCATCTCGGCGGTCTCGTTTCCTCTGGACACATGTTCGATGGGAATCAGGCTTGGAATCCCATCCTCGTCGCCAGTGTTATGTCCGTCGTGGAAAGAGAGACTCGGAGCCAGTGACTCAGTTTCAGCTCTTTATTTAGTTCCCGAGATCGGCCCGGGTCCAAAGGAGAAGCGGCGGCTTTTATTCCTTGGCCGCGGCGGCTGCTTGAATCTCCTGCGATTAGTTTCCACCAATCGCGGAGGATTCGCGGCGGGCCAATCCGTGCGGCTCGCTCAGCCAATCAGCTCGCCGTGCGTCTTGACCAATCACCGCGCGGCGTTTACAAGAATGTTAATGACTGTACAGAACACTTTCCTCCTCCACTTTTTCCTCATAACAACAATCCTACGAGGTGGGTTGGGCTGAGGAAAAGTGAATGACCCCAAGTCACCCAGCTGGCTTTCACGCCTAAAGCAGGACTAGAATTCACAGTCTCCTGGTTTCTAAGCCAGCACTTTAACAACTACACTAAACTGCCTGATGGAACTTGTTTTCCAACTTGTGGATAGTGTTACTTGAAAAAGAATGCCTTCAAAAAAGATCGGTTGTTCATCACCAGCATTTGATTTCTTGCCAATATATCCCTCTCTTTCCCTCCCCTCTCTCTTTCCCTCCCCCTCTTTCCCTCCCCCCTCTTTCCCTCCCTCCCTCTCTCTTTCCCTCCCTCCTTTCCATCCTTCTCTCTCTTTCCCTCCCTCTCTCTCTTTCCCTTCCCCCTCTCTCTTTCCCTCTCTATCTTTTTCCCCCTCCCTCTCTTTACCTCCCCCTCTCTCTTTCCCTCTCTCTTTTTCCCTCCCTCTTTTCTTCCTCCCTCTCTCTTTCCCTCCCTCTCTTTCCCTCCCCCTCTTTCTCTCCTTCCCTCTCTCTTTCCCTCCCTCCTTTCTATCCCTCTCTCTCTTTCCCTCCGTCTCTCTTTCCCTACGCCTCTCCTTCCCTTCCTCTCTTCCTCTCCCTCCCTCTCTCTTTCCCTTCCTCCATCCTTTCCCTCCCTCTCTCTCTCTTTCCCTCCCCCTCTTTCCCTCCCTCTCTCTCTTTCCCTCTTTTTCCCTCCCCCTCTCTCTTTCCCCCTCTCTTTCCCGCTCTCTCTCTTTCCCCCTCTCTCTCTTTCTCTCTCTCTCTTTCTCTCCCTCCCTCTCTCTTTCCCTCCTCTCTTTCCCTCTCTCTCTCTTTCCCTCTCTCTCTCTTTCCCTCTCTCTCTTTCTCTCCCTCCCTCTCTCTTTCCCTCCCTCCCTCTTCCCCCCTCTCTCATTCCCTCTCTTTCCCTCCCTCTCTCTGTCTGTCTCTCTCTGTTTCTCTCTCTTTCCCTTCCTCCTTCCCTCTTTCCCTCCTCCTTCTCCAACACACCCCAAGCTTGGCTCAAGGACTGCAGTATTGAAGATGCCAGGAGATTGATCCTTGAGGATGACCCAAATGTCTGGGAAGAAGGCCAGGGTCAAAACAGAGCAAGCTTTCTCAACTGAAGATTACGCTTCCCAAAATCCCCAGCCTCCATTTGCAGGTGGGGGGGATTCGGGGAGTGGATGCTAGTTGCATCTGGAAGCCATCACCCATTTTGGCTTTGTGCATTAGTATTGTGATTCACCTGTGGCCCAGTGTTTCTCAACTTTGGCCACTTTAAGATGTGTAGACTTCAATTCCCAGAATTCCCCAGGCAGTCATGGCTGGCTGAGGAATTATGGGAATTGAAGTCCACACATCTTCAGAGTAGCCAAAGTTGGGAAAGACTTGTCATGTGAGATTCTAGGTTTTATTGAAAAACGTGTGTTTAGGCTTTGCTGACTAGGGAATTCTGAGGCTTGAAGTCCATACATCTTAAAGCTGCCAAGATTGAAAAACACGGATTCTAGTCCAATTGTTACTCAGAACAAAAATCTGCCAAACCATCTTCAGGCCATTGGATCCTTGTCTGAGACACTCCACTATCCATAATCCTGCTTTTAGCCTACGACGGTATCTTTAAACTCTGACCGTCGCAGGCTATTGGGACTCCTAGATGACAAAATAAAAGGGTTCCTGAATTTAGTGAAAAAGCAAACCTGATGTTTTGTTCTCTTTCATCTTAGCTGCTATTCTGGCCAATCTGGAAAGCTACCTATCTCAACAAAGGCTGAGGTAAAACTGAGGTATGTTGGGGAGGAGTCCCGTGGAGGAGGAAGAGCATCCTGCAAATTAAGCCCAGCCTATCCAAGAGGAGACTGAACCACCTCCCACTACTGGATGCTCTTCACAGCTCATGGAGAACGGGCGTATCAGGTAAGTACCAATGCCCATTTCCATGACCCAGGGACATTACATCCATCATAAAGCGGCTAAATTTTGATCACGTGACCACAGGGAAGGTGTGATGGTTGTAAGGACTGGTCAGAAGTCCCCTTTTTCACTGCTGTTGTAACTTTGAATTGTCCCTAAACCAATACTGGCAGTCCTGGCCTTACAACAGTTTATTCAGTGACCATTCAAAGTTATGACAACAACCCTGAAAAAAGTGACTTAATGACCATTTTCAACCATTGCAGCATCCCCAGGGTCATGTGATCAGAACGTGAATGCTTGGCAACCAGTTCATATTTATGAAAGTTGCAGTATTCCGGGATCGCGCGATCCCTTTTTGCAACCTTCTTCGTTACTAACTGGACAACTGCAATGATTCACTTAACAAATGGAGCAAAACTCACTTTAAAAATGTCCCACTTAGCAAGAAAAATGTTGGGCTCAATTGTGGTAAGTCAAGGACTATTGTGGTCCTCATCCAACTGGAACAGTGGCCCCGCGACCTTTTGGTCACCAGGGACCAGTTCCGTGGAGAGAGAGGTTTTTCCATGGACCAGAGTGGGTGTGGTTTCATGTCCTGTGGATGGGGCTTTGCTTGTTTATGCGGCCTGATTTCTGGCATGCCGCGGCCCAGTGTAGGTCCACGGACCTCACTGGAGGGAAAATTGAACTTCAGTGGATCTCTGCTTTGAATATGCAGCGAATGTGATTTAAAATTATACAGGTAGTCTTGACTACAATTGAGCACAAAATTGAGATACATGTTCTTAAAAAAAATTGTTTAATGATCCTCTCCTGATGTACTTCAGTGGTGCTATTCAGCTGGCTTGCATTGGTTTGGACGAACCTGCCATGGAGTGGCAGTGTGAGGGAAGGAGGAGGCTGTTTTCCCTCTTTCTTCTCCCTGCTCCTCCTCCTTCCCTCATGCAGGCTGCTCCGTTGCAGTGCAGCTCCCAGGATCCACTTTGAATAGCGGTGGGGAGGGATTTAATAACCGATTCGCCCATGGTCAGGTTGGTTGTTGCGAAAGATTTGTCCCACATGTGTGGCAGAGCTGAAGGACGAGGATGGGCCATGCCTCCCATGACAGCCAACCTGACCCTGGGCGAACCAGTTGTTAAATTATTTGAATACCACCACTGATGTACTGTCTGTGTTTCTCATCTTCTACCTATCTTATATATAGGTAGTCCTTGTATTACAACAACCTTTGAGCCCAACGTTTACATGGTTAAGAGAGACATTTGTTTAGTGACTTTGGTCCCATTTTATGACTTTTCTCACCTCAGTTGTTAAGTGAATCCCTGCGATTCTTAAATTAGTAACACGGTTGTTAAGTAAATCCAGCTTCCCCATTGACTTTGCTTATCAGAAGGTCACAAAAGGGGGTCACATAAGCCCAGGACACCCGTAACCATCATAAATATAAGTTGGTTGTCAAGCCTCCGAATGTAAATCATGTGACCAGGGGGATGCTGAAACGGGTATAAGTACAAAAAAAGGGGCATTAGTCACTTTTTTCAGTGCCATTGTAGCATTGAATAGTCATTAAATGAACTGTTCGTTAGGGTAATGATGATTTAATAGCTGACCAGCTGCTGTAATGTTGTAATACTGTAATGATGATGCAATGGTTGTAACAAGTCAGCAGAATTATTTGACTGCTACCACTTTAAGAGGCTGTAGTATAAGAGAGGCCTTGTTAGGGCATAACTCTCCTTGTGTGCTTCCCTGCTGTAGCTAATTGCTGATTGAGTGTTTGACTTTTGCCTAGTACGTGTATGTATATTCTTTTGTGTAGATAAACCACTATTTAATTATAAACCTCTGTGAGCTGTAATTGCTCCTGGGTTGTCTCACCTAGTCACACTGTGCGTACTCTGACACTGTTATAAGTTGAAGACTACCTATATATATACAGGAAGTATCATGCAGACATGTATCAGTCTGCTAATCTGGAACAGCAGCCTTTTAATATATAAATATATTTTAAATATACATATTAAGGGTGTGAATAAGGTTTAGAAGGCACTACAGGTAGTCCACAACGTACAACCACAATTGTGCCCAAAATTTATGTTGCTCAGTGAGAAATTTATTAAGTGAGTTTTGCCCCATTTTACAACTTTTCTCGCCACATTTGTTAAGTGAATCACTGCAGTTCTTAAATTAGTAAGCCAGTTGTTAAGTGGATCTGATTTCCTCATTGATTTTGCTTGTCAGAAGGTCGCAAAAGGAGATCGCATGACCCTGGGATATTGCAAGTCATAAATATGAACCAGTTGCCAAGTGGCAGAATTTTGATCATGAGACAGCAGGAATGCTGTAATGGTTGTAAGTGTGAAAAACAATCATAAGTGACTTTTTTCAGGGCCATTGTAAGTTCAAATGGTCACTAAATGAACTACTGTAAGACAAGGACTATCTGTCTTCTTCTTCTTCTTTTTCTTCAGCGTTTGTCTCGCGCTCTGGCGAGGTCCGCTAATGTCCTTGAGTACTGCTTCCACGCCTCTCTGTCTGCCACGTATGTCGGGTCTGCCTTCGCGGTCTCTAGATCGGCCTTGATCGTGTCCATCCAGCGTTGCTTAGGTCTACCACGCGGTCTCGCTCCTCCGACAATCACCTTCATCGTAGATTTGATGATGGATTCTTCCTTGGCGCGACTCACATGGCCGAACCATCGTAGCCGGGACTGCCTCATGACCGTGGGGATGGGCACGACGTTGAACCGTCTGCGCACTTCTTCATTCCTGACGCGATCGAGTAGGGTGAGGCCTACCGACCATCGGAGCATTCGCATCTCCATTGCCTGGAGTCTGCTTTCGACTTCTTTGGTCGTCGGCCAGCACTCTGCGCCGTATATGGCCACGGGGCGCACCACAGAGTTATAGATTTTCGCCTTCAGGCGCATCGGCATCTTCTTGTCACAGAGGACGCCCGTGACGGACTTCCATTTGCCCCACGCTGCGTTGATCCTGGCTGCCACCTCAGTTTGTAGTAGGCCTTCTTCCCCAAGAGTAGTTCCCAGGTACTTGAAGGTGGAGGCGCGCGGTAGCTCCTGCCCGTTCACGTGGATGGAGCCTGTCGTTTCGTTGTCAGTGGTCAGGTATTCGGACTTCTTTAGGTTCAACCGGAGCCCGAACTGCTCAAGGCGGTCGTGCCACTGTTGAACTAGGTGCTCGAGTTCAGCCTTGCGCAGGTTGGCCAGGAACACATCATCGGCGTAGAGCAGCGTCCATGGGGCGGGCGTGTGCAGGTCGTGTGTAATTGTGTCCATCACCAGAATGAACAGCAGTGGTGAGAGAGCAGAGCCCTGGTGTACGCCGACGGTGATATTGAACTCCTCTGATATCCCAGCTGCCGCTTTTACACGGCTTTTGTGACATCTGTATAGGAGTTGGACCCATTGTACGAGTAGCTCGGGCACGCCGTGATCTCGCAGTGCGTACCAGATGAGATCGTGCGGGACTCGGTCGAAGGTCTTTTCCAAGTCCAAGAAGGCGGTGTGGAGCGGGATTTTCTTCTCTCTGTGAGCCTCCATCAGCATCCGCACACCGAAGATGGCATCGGTGGTGCCGCAGTTCTTGATGAATCCGGCCTGGTTGACGCTGATGTCGACGATGTCCCGAATGCGCTTATCGAGGACGCGTTCGAAGATCTTCATAGTGTGTGACAGTAACCTGACCGGTCTGTAGTTGGAGCAGTCCGCTGGGCTGCCCTTTCCCTTCCAGATCGGAACAGTGGTGCTGCGGTACCAGTCGTGTGGCACTATTCCCGTGGAGACGATGTTGTTGAACAGCTCGCACAGCTCTGTATTAAGTCTTTATCTGTCATCGGTGTTCTGTGTTCCTGTATTTATTTATTTATTTATTTATTTATTTATTTATTTATTTATTTGTTTATTTATTTATTTATTATAAATCTGGTCTCCTCTTTTTTCTTTCTTTTACCTTCCCAGGAGACACTGGGGATGACTCCAGCCCCTTCTCCTGCCCTTCCTGTCACATCAACTTCAAGGATCCCTCTGAATTATCCACTCACACCACTACTTGTTTCTCAGAGCGAGCCCCCAGTTCGGCAGGACTTGCGACTACTCCCACCACTGGCCAGGAGCACTCTAGCATTTGCTCTTCATCCTCCTCTTCCGTTGAGGTCTACCCCGAAAGTTCTCCAAGCATGGATGCGGAACCTGGGCCCTTGCTGACTAAGCCAAGCCAAGAGTCCGCCTCTTCCCTGTGCCCTCCTCCACCACCCCCAACCCTGCCTCCCCCCACCACTCTCTCTACTGGGCATCTCAACATCGCTCTCATCCTGGAAGAGTTGCATGTTCTGCAACAACTCCAACTCCATCAGATGCAGATGATGGAACAGATTTGCCACCAGGTGTTGCTCTTGAGTTCATGGGGGCAGGTTGAGGCTCCAACTTCTACCACAGAACCTGCTTCAGTGGCATCTGCCCCACCCAAGCCCCCTTTGCCCATCTTTTCCATCAAGACTGAGCCTGGGAGGAGCCAGGTATCTGCCTCTCCAGATGTGCCCAAGCCAGCGTTCTTCCATCTCTACCACCCATTCCCTGGTGGCACCAGAGTGCCCAAAGCTGAGCAGCTCCTAGCTCCAGCCTTCTCTACAGCCACAGGCGTCTTGGCAGCCCAGTGCTTAGGAACTGCCCGGGGTCTGGAACAAGCCACATCTCCAGGACTCTTGGGACAGAAGAACGGAGGAGGTGGCAGAGGAGGAGGAGGGGGAGAACCCAACTTGGAAGGTGAGAAACCAAGTGGGTGCCACAAATACCATTTATGTGGGAAGATCTTTGGCAGTGACAGCACCCTCCAGATCCACCTACGTTCCCATACCAGTGAGCATCCCTACAAATGTAACATCTGTGGGAACTATTTCACCACCCGAGGCAATCTTAAGGTCCATTTCCATCATCACCGGGAGAAATGCCCTCATGTCCAGATGAACCCTCATCCAGTCCCGGAGCATTTGGACTATGTCCTGACCACTTCGGGACTCCCTTATGGCATGTCCATGCCACCTGAGAAAGCTGAGTCAGGAGAGGAACACGGGGCCCTCCCTGTGGCCGAGCGCAACGCCCTGAGTGCCACCGAGAGTCTGAGCCTACTATCCAGCACAACTCCTTCAGGCATGGCTCAAGCTTTTCCCAGTTTCAACAAGCTGGTCCTGATGAAGGCGGTGGAAGCCAAGGGGAAGGGGGATGAGAACACCCCTCCTGAATCAGAGACGGAAGGGGCCCGTCTTCAGCTGGGGAAGTTTGTGGGGGCCTTGCCCAGCTGGGCTCGGTTGGCCAATCACTTCAAGGCAGGCCCAGCCATGGGGCCCTTCCCCTATGTCCTGGAGGCCTCTCCCTCAGAGACCTCCAAGCTCCAGCAGCTGATGGAAAAGATCGACCGCCAAGGATCCTCGTCCTCCGCGGGCACAGCCTCTGTGGCCCCATCCACAGCCGGCTCCTCAGTGGCATCTTCTCTGGCATCTTCAGGGCCCAATCAATGTGTCATCTGCTTGAGGGTCCTCAGTTGTCCCCGAGCTCTGCAACTTCACTACAGGCAGCACAGGGGTGAACTCCCCTTCAAGTGCAAGGTCTGTGGGCGAGCCTTCTCCACTCGAGGGAACCTGAGGGCTCACTTTGTGGCCCACAAAACCAGCCCATCGGCCTGAGCACAAAACTCTTGTCCCATCTGCCAGAAGAAGTTCACCAATGCCGTGAGCCTCCAACAGCATGTCTGAATGCACCTGGGTGGGCAGATCCCCAACGGAGCTCTACTGCCTGAGCCTTCAGCCCCAGAGGGGGCCCCATTGGGAGAAGGGGAGAAGCCACAGGAGCAGCCAACTATCCCCCAGGAGGAGGAGCTGTCAGAGAAGGAGGAGGAAGAAGAAGAGGAGCCCACTGACGAAGACTCGGTGGAAAGCATTGGAGAAAAGGCAGAGCAGGTATCCAGTCCTGAAGGTCTGTGTCCTCCCAAAGAAAGGGAGGAAATGGAGCAGTCTGGGGGGGGAGAAGGAGGACCCAGAGTACTCTCCTCCTCCCCACTGGGGCCCCAAAGTCCTCTCTGCCCCTTGAAGGATGGGGAAGAGAAGGCCGATATGGAAGAAGAGGATGGTGGAATTGCCCCGGTGGAAGAAGAATCAGAGAAGGAGAAAGGAGGTGCTGGAGAAGGTCCGTCCAAGAAGCAGCAGCATCAGGGCAGCCAAGCCAACGAAGAACAAGTGCTGATCTGTGGGATTTGCAAACAGCCCTTCACCGACAGGACAGCCTTGCGCAAACATGCGATGACTGCCCATCCCCAGGTAAGAAATGAAGATGGTGGGATAGGGGACATCTGGCTTCCTCTTGTAGTCTTGGATAGGAAGGCATCTTCCCTAGTGTGCTGTCTGTCGCCCTCTAGAGGAGTCCTTGGGATAGGCAAGGCTACATTCTTCCTATGGATTATCTCATTTTTCTTTGAAGAGATTTCACTCTCATCCAAGAAGTTTCTTCAGCTCAAATATGAAGATGCTTCTTGGATGAGAAGCAAAACGTCTTCAAAGAAAAACCAGAAAGTCCAGCTGCCTCTTGAGAAAGAACCTTTGGGACAACCATGACCTGGATGACTGAGAATCTCTATAGATTCTCCTATGGATGTTCTCCAGATGTGTGGTGCCACAACTCTCCTATAATCTGCAGTTCAGCAGGATGAGACCTTCATAACTTTTGTGTTGAGTGGACCAACCTTCCCTAACCTGGTCCTCTGTAGTCTCCACCACCCTCAGTGTATTGGGGAGAATAGGTTCTGCAGATGGAAACAGAATTCGTTGGCCTCTTGATGAGAGACTAATAGGGAATCGAGAACTGTAGACAGGGAAGTCAAAAAATTGGATAGACCACTTCCATGCTGTTCCTGAGGAAACCCCTAGAAGTCCTATACCATCTTTTACTCATGTGCTATTTCTGATTATGGGCAAAAATTTAATTATCCTATACTGCAACGTCCTAGGTTCCTTGCTTAAAAACTATACCCTGCCTTGAAATAATCTCCAGAAATCCCAAATATTTTGCTGCTGTACATTACAGGTAGTCCTTGATTTACAACAACCATTGAGCCCAAAATTTATGTTGCCATGGAAGACAGTTGTTAAGAGAGTTTTGCCCCATTTTACAGTTAAGTGAAATCCTGAGGTTAGTTACTAATACTGTTCCATGGTGTTACTGTGTTAGTAGCACCGTAAGTAAGTTAGTAACACAATTGTTAAATGAATCTGGCTTCCCCATTGACTTTGCTTGATAGAAGATCGCAAAAGGTGATCATGTGACCTGGGACATTGCAACCGTCATAAATATGACCTAGTTGCCAAGCATCTGAATTTTGATCATGTGACCATGGGGATGCTGCAACAGTTCTAAGTGTGAAAAATAGTTGTAGTCACTTTTTCAGTGCCGTTGTAACTTTGAACACTCATTAAACAATTGGTTGTAAGTTGAGGACCACTGGGTAGGCTTTATCTCATGATCATTTGGGTCTATGGAAATTCTCAGTCCTCCAGGTGATGATTGTCCCAAAGGTGCCTTTTCAATAGGCAACTGGAGTTTTCTTATTTTTTTCTTTGAAGACGTTTCACGAAGAAGCTTCTTCAGCTCTGACTGGATGGTTGGGAATGGAAGGATTTATTCTCCTTGCTGGTCATTTGCATCTTTTTAGAGAGTCATTTAGGCCACCTGGAGATTTATCTCTTCATCTCTCATTATTAAGATAAAGGCCAGACCTTGCTCATACTGGTGTGAATAACAGAAAAGCATGCTTGTACTTTCATGTCCAGTTTCTCTTTGAGTTTTGGTACAACCTTTCCTCACACAGCTTTCCTCACACAGTTTTCCTCTGTGCACAAGTCTGGCTTCAGAAGAAATTTGGATGCTGGTAATTGTAGAGAAGCATGGATTATCCCATTCTGCCCAAATTTCAACTCTCAAGTTGTTAATGGAAGGTTGCCACTGTTTTGTATAATCATCTTTTTTTAAAAAAATTAACTTTATTGAATTTTTATTACATTAAAAACATAAAAAATATATCACTCAATAACAGCTATTTGTGGTGCTTATCATATAATGATCATTTGTACAATATTAATTTAGGTATTAATACAGATATTAATTTGTACATAATTATATTCTTATTCTATCTATATTCTATATTTAATAATTACCTATCCTTAATCTGCCTCCAATCTATCCAGCTATACCATTGTTCCCATACCTTATAAAATATTGAAGCTTCCTTATCTTTTAAACTCAGCATTAATTTATCCATTTCAGCACAATTCATAACTTTTTGTGTAACCAGTTCCTCTACAGGTGTATATGGCTGTTTCCAACATTGGGCAAAGGCGATCCTGGCAGTAGTCAATATGTGCAATAATAAGTATTTTGTGCTCTTTGCGTATTTTTTTTAAGATCCCCATTATAACCATCTTTTGAAGTAGAGGCCGATGTCGACAATTTCAAAAGTTCTGCTTCCTGTCTTGGTGAATCTGGTTGTAACTCTTCACAGATAATCCTTGACTTACGACTTTAATGATTGCTCAAAAGTTACAACGGTATTGAAAATAGTAATTTACATCTGGTCCTGCACTTATGTCTATCAGAGTATCCTCTCAGTCACGTGATCATGATTTAGCTGTGTTGTAATGACGAGGCAGTCGAGTTGTTTGATCATGAACAATTGAATCATGATGATCTTTATTGGAGTCTAGTCTTCCATTTATACACATTTTTAGTTATCCTCCATCACTGGTTAACTTTGGTTACTGCTTAACTTTTGTTACTGTTTAGCACAGTAATCCATACAATTAATTATCTCTAGTTAAAGTCTAACATATGTTTACTTCCTCTCTCTAATCCTCCTTTAGATTAGTGACTTTGTTTACCTGAGTTGTATTTGCTTGGAAACATTCTTTATCTGAGGTTTGCCATCCGAGATTGGAACATTCCTGCAATTACAACTCTACATATCCTCGTTTTTTATTTTAAATGGAGGATTCAAAGATTTATGAATGTATCACAATTGTAGAGGGTTAAGAGAGGGGGAAGCAGGATGAAACAATGCAAATAAATTCAGAATACATTGAATAAAATAACAGGTTGCAATTAGTACAATAATAATAATTATAGCATAAAAGAAAAAGCATAAAGGATTTTGTCTCTTTTTATTTTTCCTTCTCATATATGTTATGATTAGCCCTCTAATATATGCCTCAGCTGTGTTCCATAATCTTTGTAGAAACATCTCTTCTTTTCTATTTTCTTTGAAAGAAAAAATCCAAATCTCTTTCCGTAAATTGGATAAACCCCTTTTCTTTTAATATTGCTTGATTCACTGTCCATCTTAGTTTCCTTTTTTCTCCCTCCCATGTAACTTTTATCAGGTTGTATTCTGCCCAGTTGCATATTTCTATATTTGTTTCCTGTACATTGAGTTTTAGCTCTGCTGACACCCATATCATACCTATATTAAAATATTATAAAATAATATATAACATATAATAAAAATATTAAAATACAAAAATTAAAATGTTAAAAAGCTTTACAAAAGTTTCTGTAATAGAAATTATATAAGCATCATTCAATATCATTTTCTTGGCAGTACACTAAGTACGATATATACACTTAGAATTTGACAGTTTTGTTTTCATATTAACTATTTTAATTCACAGTTCTTAATTAATGTTAATAAACAATGCTATAACATCTTTACAGGTCACTAATTCAAGAAAAAAGGGAAGAAAAAAAACAAAAGAGAAAAAAGAATATCATTTTGACACTTAATACATGTATATAAATCCAAAACAAACAACAAGGGTATTTATAGACTATGTGGTATAGTTTAATATTCCATAAGTAAGGGGGGAGGAGGAGGGGAACATATTTTTATCATTAATTATTGCATATTTCTATATATTTCTACACTATATCTAGGTAATTATAAATCCTGATCTGGATGTTTATCTAAATCTCATTTTTTCCTAACAGTGCCTCAGTTTCTATAACTTCTCCCTCACTGTCTGTTTGCTAGTATTCCAATTTTATTTCCCTTTTTTCTCCTTTTTAAATTCCTTTTGTAACCTTTCCTTATTGTACTTTATTGTCAAACCATTGGTACCAAATGTTCCAAATTAAATAGTCCTCTGAGTCCTCCTTATCCTTTAATTTCAGCATGAGCCTATCCATCTCTGCACATTCTAAAATTTTGTGAATTATAAACCTTGGGGGTTTGTTCTTCACCATGCATCTTCAGTGTTTTCTCTCTTACCACTTGTAATATTTGTGTTTTAATGGCTTTTTTTGTAAATCTGATATGAACTTATCTTAGTAGGTTATTTCTCATCGCATATCTTGTGAAAACTCGATATACCTCATCTACTCCATCTATCATCTTCTCCTCTGTTATTTCCAAAGCTTCAGCCAGTATTTCTATCATTATCTCAGCTAAATTTTGTCCTTTTTCTTCCTCTATATTTTGAAATCTGAGATAAAATTCTGATCTGTCCATCTCCCATTTCAGCATCCCACTTTTATCTTGTTCACCCACTGTTAATCTGCTATCAATGTCTCCAATCTTCTTATCTCTTTGTTTATCTTCTTCAATTTTTTGGAATCTCTCATCATACTTCACCATCATTTGTTGAATATTCTCCACTTTTTCATCAGTTTTCCCTATTCTTTGTTCAATATTCTCTGTTCTTTGCTCAATGTTCTCTATTCTCTTTTCAATAGTGTCTGATTTTGTTTTAAGGTCTTGGATTCCTTGCATAATCATCTGTAGAGTCACTTTTTCTTGTTCTTTGTCTTGCTTTAACATTGTCTGAATTGAACGTTGTCCTCCAGATGGTGGGGAGGCGGAAGTAGAAGTTGAGGAGCCAGAAGCTATAAATTTCCTACTCATTTTAAACAATTCAAAATCTTCAGGTTCTTCTGAACCTTAATCCAATTATGAAATAGCCAATTATAATCCAAAGTGAAGAAAATGAAAAATAAAAATGGTAGAGAGAAAAAAGCCCAATAGTAATAAAAAGAAAAGGAGAGAAAATTTCTTCAGGTTCTTCTGAACCTTAATCCAATCAATAGTTAAGTAAAAAGGAAGGAAAAAAACAAAAAAGGCTTAAAAAGAACAAAAAAAGAAAAAGAAAAAATTCTTCAGGTTCTTCAACACCTTAATCCAATTGAGAGGTCTCAAATAAAAAAAAGAATAAAAGAGAACCAAAAGAATAGATGGAAAGACAAAAAATCCCAAAGAAGAAAGGAGAAAAAGGAGAAGAAA